AAAAAAAAAAACATTTTTATGGAGAAATGATTTCTCCAGCATCTATGACTATCACAGGACTGTCTGGAAACCTCTCTGTCATGTGTTGGATTTTAGTTCCTTCATCTGTCATGAGTAACTCTTGAATTAAATTATAAAATTCATCATCTTTACATCCAAATTTCTATTTAAATGTGGCAGGTGTGCACCTCATGAAATTGTTCCCACTTTCCCACATCCACAGATATAGAAATGAAAAATGATAAGATTATATTAATGAATGTCCACAAAAAAATGAGTCCTTTTATGATATGAAGGAATAGTAGCAGCTATCACTTACTGAAGTTGTACTATGCTCCAGAGACTGCATCAAATATTTTATATCGATTACTTCATTAAGTCATCTCTCCAACCCCATGAGGTATTCTCTACCCTTGACCTTATTTTATAGGTGAAGACACCTGAGGCAGTTTGAGAATAATGGATTTGTTCACAGTCACCCAGGTTTTACAATTAGAACATAGGCTTCCACAACCCATAGCCTTCGCTTTGAACTATTGCACTAGGATACCTCTCATGGGAAGGGAGAGACATGTCTCCAGAAGAAAGCAGAGAAGAAAGCAGAGATTAAGATCAGCCACACATCAGTGTTAAGGCAGGGACCATTCTCCACACAGCCCTGACAACCCACAATCTCTTGGAGCATTATTACTGAAAAGATGGCAGTACAAGCAGAAATCACTGAAGAGTTGGGAAACAGCAACACCATGAGAGATAAACAAAAAACTCCAGAACAACAATAATTAAAAAAAAAAACAGCTATCAAAAAACTTCATATCTGAGGAAACAAGAAAAAAAATACAATATGGAAAGGTCTTTAAAATATTCAATAACCTTATCTTTATAAACTTATATTTATAACAAAAGGGAAATAAATCTATGAAACAATAACAGGCATTTGTGAAACAAGAATAGGCAGGCAGGAAATAAGAACATCTATATAGTAAAAAATAACAAATCAGAGATTTGGGAAATACAAATATAATCAATGCTGAAATTTTAGAAAAAACTAAGAAGTTAACTAGCTGACTATACAAAATCAAAGAATGAATTCATGAGCTGGGTCATCATGTGGGGATCATCTCCCAGAACATTGTATATTGAGACACAACCAAACCAAAGTGCATAAATGGGTATACATATAGAAATGTAAACCACAAAACATTTCCAAAAAGTTGTTCTAGCTATATTAATACCTGAAAAATATAATTTCAGATAGAAAGCAGAAATGAAGGAAAGAGGAATATTTTCTTTCATAAAATGAACAATTAACCTAAAACATATGAGCCATAAACTTATATGCCTCCTATTAATATGATTTGAAATATATGACTCAAATATTGATAGAATAATGCCAGGAAAATAGAAGAATCTATGCTTAGAGCAGCAAGCTGCCTCCCTATGAACTTCAATCCTTTAATAAAGACCTACTAAACTCACATATGCTTATTTGAGTGGAAATCTTTTGTGGAAATCATGCAAGGAAGTAAATTCCAAATTCAGGTTGACTTGGCGCAGTACAGATACAGCCTGAAGGTTTGACTGAACCAAGAGGCTGGGTGGCCAGGAGCTAAATTCTCCTTACTCTGCCCTATTCCCTTCTCCACTATTGGGGACTAAAGGTGCAAGTAACTAGGGGAGGCTTTGGGACAAGTGAAGAATTGGGAATACTTGTGGATGTTTTAGAAAGGAAAAGAGTAAGTTTGTGGGCATTGGAACCAGAACTTCTAAATTTGAATTCTAAGTCTAGCAGCTCCTAGCTCGAGACCTGGAGAAAACTATTGAAACTATTGAAACTTCTGTTGAACTATTGAACTTTCCTTGGAGGAAACTAATGAAATTTCTCTCATTCCTGAGTTCCCTCAATTGGAAAATGGGGATAATCATACCAACTCCATAGGTTGGTTACAAAAAGAAGCAGCCAATGTAAGACACAGTGTGGTAGTTTCTTAGTAAACTAAGCACACTCTTTAACATATGATCCAACAATTGTTTTCCTTTCTATCAATATTTATCTGAATGAGTTAAAATCATGTCCACACAAAAAACTGCATGTGGGTGTTTATAGCAGTGTTACTCACAATTTCCAAAACTTGGAAGGTACAGAGACATCCCCCAGTATGTGAGTAGATAAAGCATGGCATATCCACATGATGGCACATTATTCACCACTAAAAGGAAATGAGGGGTGGCACCTGTGGCTCAAGGAGTGGGGCACCAGCCCCATATACCAAAGGTGGTGGGTTCAAACATGGCCCTGGCCAAAACCTGCAACAATAACAATTAAAAAAAAAAAAGAAAGAAAGAAAGAAAAGAAAAGAAAAAGAAATGAGCTGTCCAGCCATGGAAAGACATAGAGGTAACTTTGCTGCATGCTACTGAATGAAAGAAGCCGATCGAAAAAGGCTGACTATGTATGGTGCCAACTAAATGACATTCTGGGAAAAATCAAACCACGGAAACAGTGGGAGAATAAGTTGTTGTCAGGGTTGGGGGAAAAGAAAGTGGAATAGGTGGAACAGAGACTTTAAGGACTGTCAAACTATACTGTATAATACTACAATTTGGGATACATGTCATTATACATCTGTCAAAACGCACAGAGTGTACAATACCAAGGGGGTATATGACAATTCTCTGTATTTATTGCCCAGTTTGACTGTAAAGCCAAAACTTCTGTAAAAAGTAAAGTTTATAATTCTTTTTAAAAAGTCCCTCTAGTAGCTAGGCACAGTGTTGTGTCCTATAGTCCCAGCTGCTTCAGAGGCTGAGGTGGGAAGATCTCTTGAGCCTAGAAGTTTAAGGCCAGGCTGTGCAACATAGAGACACTCTGTCTCTGAATAAAAAGTCCCTCCAGTAAAACATAAAGTGATAAAATGTAAAACTGAATGAGATGCAAATCTATTGTGGGCCCCTGACTGTTTTGTAACACAACTAAAAGAATACCCTCTTCCCCCTTGCCAGTAGAGGAAATGGGTTTATTTAAATAAGCTTGTGTTTATGGAAGGGTCATTTGGAAAAGGAGGAGAAATGGGGGGAAGAGAAAATGATGGTCAGACCTCCTTTGGAGGGGCAGTCACACGGATTTCAATACCTATGTCAATGGAGGGCACCATTCCCACCTCCTCCAGATACAGACAGGGAAGTGGGGAGATGCAGAGGGAAATGCCCAGAACAAGAGGGAGGGGGCATGAGTTGGGCAAGTCAGTTGGCCCTCCTAAACT